TGGTTCTGTGGGGAAAGCACTCACACACACACGCACGCACGCACACACACACACACACGTTTTCCTTTGTCTGTTGCTAAGCAGGTGGAATTCAGTAGGTGAATGCTTAGATTTTAAACAGCTTTCCCCACAGAACCAAACGTTAATGAGAATAATGAAAGAACCAAATCTGAAATATGTACTTTAAGGTTAAAGAAGATAAAATAAGTGATATTTTGGATTTTACGTGAAGTAAACTACCATAATCCAGTGTTAAGATAAACATTTTATTTTAGCCACTTTAAAAGACCCAGGTAAGAAAATTATCATAATAAATAGGTTTACCCATCTATTCTTCAAATCATCCTTTCAATTATTTCACAACAATTCTTCCCTGATCCCTCCGAACTTTGATGAAAATGGCTCACTGGTAGTCTCATCGGCTATCCATCACAGGTGTGTCGAGCGTCCAGAGTGAGATATACTATGCCCTCTCCTGCATCTCAAGGAGGAGGAGGGGCTGTCTGTTTGCATTCGGCTTTTATAATGAAATGAAGAGAGCTGTGATCAGATGGGAAGTAATTTTCTAATCGACAACAAAAAAGTCACACATTGGTGCAGCTTCTACAGCCCAGCACTAAATGAATAAATTACTACCACCACACATTTAAAGTTAGCATACCTTTAGCGTCTTAGTATCCAAAACAACTAAATGCAGCTTGACAACGAAGACTAAAGCGCAGTGCGAAGCAACAAGAAGACAAAAAAGAAAATAATAAGAGAGCGGGTGGAGGAAATCATGAGACAATCAGACATAGGGAGAGGGACAAAGTAAGGAGGGACAGAAAGAAACAAACTCATTAACCTGAGAGGGAGGGCTGAAAGAAATGACGGCGAGCAACATGTTTTTAAAATGAGAAAAGCATAATGCAGACATTAGAAGGACTGAGATGCATTAAAGAAAACACAAACAATCTTCAAATCCTGTCAGAAGAATAGAATGAAAGAAATACTCTCATTCAGATCTCCACTCAGACTAACTGTTGAAGTGGTGATTGAGGTCAGTGGGGTCTCAGTAGTTTTTTTATTTTTATTTTTTTTACTAATGAGCCAGAGATGAGCAGGGATCAGTGACAACCTCAGCCTATATCTTAGCAGCCTACAGGCTTGGATGAATCCACGAGACCAGGTGCTGGAGGCTTTTTGTGGAACCAGCGGGCTCCGGAGGGATGATGTGCAGCAAACGGGGGAGATCATCTGCAGCCATCTTTCCTCTTCATCTGATCGCTTGTGTCACGAGCAGTCAGCCAACCTGTGTGTCCACATGTCCTTCTTGTCACATCTGTCTGTCTTCTAATTGTCTTTATCTTTTGCCACTGGGGAAGGTTAATTTCAACCCTGAATTGCTCAGTGGAATGAGCTCCTCCTGATTGTTCCACAGCAGATAAAAGCGCAACAGTGATGATGATAAGGACCGTGATTTTTTTTTTTTTTTTTTGATTACAGCAAAGACAGGCAATCAAAAAGCACCTCTGCAGGCAATTTACCAGCTGCTCCACACATCTTTCACAACTGTTTTGTCTGTGTCAAAGAGTGAGGATATACTTTCACAAGTTTTGTATTAACTACACAGTTAAGCTGTATCAAGACTATAACTATCAAAGAAATAGAAATAAAGATGCGCACTTGGAAACTTTGTTCCAAGCTTTGCTGAAGTCCAAAAAATAAAATAAAATTGAAGTTTATGGATTGTTGATTATGTATTTATTGCAACAATTTGTTAATTATGATATATTTTGTTTCTTCACCTTAAAAAAATAAGTTATAAAATGAATCATTACAACTTTAGGAAAGTTTGTGATATTTAAAAAAAAATGTTGATTCTGTGAGTAAAAATGTGTCACTTATTTGCGTTAATGAAGTGTAATAGTTCATCTGCAAGAAGTGGGGAAAGGATGGCTTGAACTCCAGGAATTAGTCAGGTTCTTTTTAGAGAAATTGTGAGAAAGTACCACAAAACTGTCAAACCATAAAACGTTTTTGTGGAGTTATAAGACATCAGTAACGCAGGTTCAACACAACATGAATTAAATTAAACTTGTTCTCATAACGGGAAAATGACCAATAAATTCTGAAGACCGTGAATGCAACATTAGCTTAAATCACTTAACCTGTTTGACACGTGACTGTTAGCTACAAATTTTCACCAAAACGTTAAATTTGTTTTATGTAGTTACTTATGAGAATGTACTTACTCTGTGTCAGAGTGATAGCTGAAACACTCCGGGAGGTAGAGGTCGACTAAATCCATCTGCACTCTGTCACCATACCCACTAAAACAGGATAAAATGTTTCCGTTTGTCTCCTTTCCCCTTTTTACTTTCCCTATACTGTCCTCGCGCGCGACGGTTTTGGACAAATTATAACTCAGTTTTTTACTGTTTTCTTCCTGAAACTTTATCCTCATTTACTGCCTTCTTCTTCTCAACTGTACGAACCCGCTCCCAGCTCGGCTCATCGTCGTCCCTGACTGTGGCGCTCCTCGCTCCCACGAAATCAAACCACCGAACCCCTGAGAGGTCCGAACCGTTGTGACCGCTGACAGCAGCTGGGCCTCATCAACACCCTCCCACCCCCGCGCGCCTCTTCATCTCACAGCTGATTGGCTGTCCGCTCAGCCAATGAGCGCCTGAGCTGCTGAGGCAGGTGGATGTGACAGAGGATGTGGTACAAGCTCATCAACAAGAAGACCAGATGATCTCCAAGTTTCTTAGATCTTTAGACAACTATCTCAAAATTACTGTACATAAAACCAAAAACTACATTGCCATTATGCAACAAATAAACAATGATAAGCAAAAACTAAATATTTAGAAAGTTGGCTTTAGTTGAGTTTGTCCTTTTAGGGTTCTGAACCTACCATAATTAATTTATAAAGCAGTTAAAAACAGCAACAAGGCTGACCAAAGTGCGGCACAATACAAACAAGGCAGAGCAAGTTAAAGTTCATGAATCTACAGAAGTAAAAATAGGAAACAGACAAATATAAATAAATACAAACACAATAAGGTCAAAGTTGGGGAGTGGTGGTGCAGAGGTTAGAAGATGGTCCTGTGATCAGAAAGTCGCAGGTTCACCTCCCGGTACCGTCAACATCAAAATGTGGGTGGAAAAGGTGAAACACCCACACCTGCCTCCACCCTCATTCACATCACTCTGGGCCCCTGAGCAAGGCCCTTAACCCCCACCATCTGCTCCTTAAACAGGTCTCTCTTGAAAATGAGTTCTCGTGGCTCAATGAGACTACCTGTATAAATAAAGGGTAAATTAAAAAAAAAAAAGATGACGTCGCAAGCTGGGTTAAAAGTCAGGGAGGGAAAGTGAAGGAGACTGCCTAAAAGATCATTTTAAACCCTGAATTTCACATGAAAGAACAAGAAATAAAACTTTACATTGGGTTTAAACTTTAGAGGGATTTATTTTCTAATTTCACGTGAACAAACAATTGAATGAGTTATGTATAAATAAAATTTGTGGCAAAAGGTTGACTGATAGATTGTGGAAAGGGTGTTCAGATACCCAACAAATAAAACTATTTTTATTGGCTTTATTACGGTAAAGTTACTGCATCCTATCATTTTATGAGGTGATTAGACTGATTCGTACAATTTTAAAATATTTAATAAGCATACCTTGACAGATGCTTACATGCTCCTGGATTTTTGATGAGAATACTGTGATTAATATTAAAACGGATGTTTTAAAAAAGACTTATTAAGCTCAGGAGGAGAAAATCTGTAGGAAACAACATTATCCCTGTAACCTGTTAGATATCTGACTGTACAGTAACATCCCACACATTCAATTTACATTTGACTTATTATATAAATTTATTTCATGCACAAAGGCAAAATATTGGCCAGTTTTTTTAAATAAGATATCTTTAATTTTTTGCAGATCTTCCAAAACATCTAAATAAACATTTGTTACAAACTATTTTGGATCAAACTTTAAACAGACGATCTCAGATCACTGCCAAAGACCCCTTAAAACACCTTTAATCTAGTCAGACGCTGATCTCTAAATCCAAACCTTAAGATTATTCTTTCAGTACAAACTCATTCAATTTGGATGTCAGTTTTAATAAAAAATCAACAGCTTTCTGCAGGAAAGCTGCATGTACAAACAAACATATGGGCATCCACACACTGAACCACATCAACTTAAATTTGACTTAAGCCTTAACGGACTTACCTGCTGCAGCTCTGTTATCTGAGATAATCAGCTATGGCTGTGTGCCTAATGTGGTGCCTTCCTCCTTTCACTCACAAAGCGCACGTGCAACTTAACGAGAAGCAGGGTAAGTATCCAGCATGCATGGTCTAATACTTTCATGCCTTCTGGCCAGAAAAGCTCCCTCCAACAAACTTCCACCAGTTGATAATGACAACTGTAGCAGGTTTTACAGCTCCTGACGCTTTAATTTAGAGAAGGAAGGGGCAGAAATTATTGTTTTGATGGTAAAGGTTGCAGGTTTTGTTTATTTAATGTACAGTATTAATCACAAAGTAAACTGCTTTAATCTGAGACCAGATTAATGCTCTGAGTTTATTTCCATTAGTAGTCCCTGAGACACACAAACATTATATACAACGCATACACAAATCATGTACTGTATACAATTACACAAACATTGTACATGTCTGTGAAATAGCAACAAGAAAGGGAAATCATGTGAACTAAGGCTAATTAAGAGTCATACATTCATTTTAGAGCATAACTAATATATTAGCAGTATTTTATCAGATGGTTGTGGATATACTAATTACATTTGTGTAGTTTTTTTATGTAAAACTTTTTGTCACCTGATTCCCCCGGAGCTGCCTGCAGAACATTGTTTGAGCTCTAAACTGATAACGCATCCACGTGGAAATGTCAAACTGCTCAGCTGGACACCTCATGGGTCAAGGATGATCCCTACTCATTTCAAGGTCATGGTGTCAAAGGTTAAGGTCACAGGTGACCTCTGTGTAAAAACTCTTTCTAACCTTTTCTGCTCAACTATAATAGATTATTGTGGTTGAACAGATGCAGATTCATTGTGTTTTAACTGCAAGTTTCTTTTAAAATTAGTTTCCACTGAGCCTTCTTTGGATGACTTAATGTCGTTGAACAGGGGTGTCAAACTTACTTACAAAAGGGGGCCAAAATTTAAACTTTTTTCAAACTAAGGGTCATTTTCAGAAACTACATTAACTCAAATCAGATACCAGCATCTTTTATTGGTTGCAGGTTCCTCAACAAGAGTTTGATTGGTCTCATTTGATGTTCTCTGTTGTGCTTTCAACATTATAACCAAAGATCACTGAAAAAAGTAAAGCGATAAAAGTATTTTACATTTCACATATTGTCTTAGGGGCCACCAAAGATGTCAACTAGGGCCACATTTGGCTCCCGGGCCTTGAGTTTGACACATATGTCGTAGAAGAACTGCTGGTGAGGCAGTCTCTCAGATCCCTGGGATGTTTGGATTTGACGTTACTCCTGGAATAAATCCTTCAAAAGCTAAGAAGCTGGGTCTGCCTATCTCGACACTACAAAAATTATTATGAATTATATTATATATATATATAATTATTATACTATTGAACGAAATGATTAAAAGTAAAGTGACAACCTGAGAAATTTTAAATAAAAAGTCCAAAAAAATAAAAACAGCCAAACACAACAAAACCACAGACAAGCAAACTCGACAAAAAGTTTATTGTTTTTTTTGTTGTTTTTTTTCTAAAAAGCTGATTTATTTTCATTCAACCTTTATTTATACAGGTTAGTCTCATTGAGCCTCGAGGATTCATTTACAAGAGAGACCTGATTTAGACAAAGAACACAGATGAGGTACAGATCATGTAAAAACAAATAAAATGAAAAGTAAATAGAAGAAATTATATAAAAACAAGAAAAAAAGCTACATTATAAAGTGATGGAAACAAGCTGTTATTAACAAATATGCAGTTTTTAATGTTCAAGTAGCAACAATCATCTTCTTCTTTCGGCTGCTCCTTTCTTCAAGGGTCGCCACAGCGAACTAACTCGCATGAAGACTTGGAAATTGTTTTTATGCCGGATGCCCTCCTGGACGCAACCAATAAACTCCATTATTAAAAATTTCCAACATATCAACTCTCATAAACTGTATGTTTACCAGTAAAATGTGACTACAGTGATACAACTCCTACAGCTTGACACTAAAAGGGTGTTTTTGCCTTTATAGAACGCTATTTTCAAATAGAGCGAGAAGTTTCTTACAGAGAGAAGATTGTAAGGTTTGGAGGGAAAAATTAATTGACATACCTTTGCTATAATCTTGGGCATACAAATATACGTCTTTTAATGTTAATATTGGTTATTCAACAACTAGAGCAGCAGCGAGTCTTGCTGAGAGACACTCAAACAGGCTGCGCGCGCTCCCTTTGGTAGAAGGAGTTTGGTCCCGTTTGAAAGTCAGACATGTCTGTACTCTTACGACGATGCTTAACAACGTAAAATTTCAGTTACAGAGAAGTTGAGGTGTGGCGCGAGGGATGGGGGTGATAATGTATTGGTTGTCTCCCCTGACACATGATTGAAAAAGCTGATTTACCCGTAGAAGTGGAACCCAACATGCACGGCTGCAGTTGTAGACAGCAAAAACATTTTTACTCTGCTGAGTCTGAGCTGAGGACAGAAGCTCGATGAGCGCTGCGGAGGGACACTGTAACAAAGCACCCAGCTGCCATGACACCCCCCTCCCCCCCCAACACACCAGATGTATGCATTTCTCTCTGAAGAACATGGAGAAGTACAGACAGATCCACCACAGCTGCATGTATGTGCTTCTCTCCTTATCCGTAAACTCACAGCCACCAAATCTCAGCCTCCAGGGACAGCTGTCGCTTTGCCTTCCAA